CCTATACTGTGGAAAATTATTCAGTCCACGGAAAAATGAAGCCCCACTACTCAGCATAATTTGGGTGAATCTTGAGAACATTATGCAATCGCAAGACCGAGCTGCAGCCTTGGTTCCCAAACTGATTTGGCCTCTTGCCCTATTTTCAGGGGGAAATTTTACTCAGTGCCCCCCTGGCAATTAAAAGCATTCGTACTATAGACCAGGAGGTAGTTAGTTTATTGTGCCAACCTGGACAATAAACACATGTGGGATTAATTGAAGGGTCAAGGGATAAATGGCTCGGTAAGCGTCACCTTTCTAGTTCTCGGGTCTCTTGCTTTCTGATGGTTGAACAGGTTGCAGCTGCCTTAGCCACTTCCCTGCTTCAGCTGGCAAGGTTCACTTCCTGCAAGACATCCCTGAGGAGAAGCCACATGGACCTACCCCGATGCAGCCCTGGGTGCTGGAGCAGCTGTGGGGAGACCCCTGCCAACGCTGAGATGCTTACACGCTCACTGACTAACTCGGCTTTCCTCCTGCAGTCGGCATCATAGTGTGTGTTTACTAATACAGACCATAATCCAGGATAAAGTATAGGTATTTGCTTTTGCAGTACCTCCTGGATACTGCCACCTAATAATAATTATTGATTATTTACAAGCTGCAGGGGCAGTATCAGCCACTTTGGGAAACACTGTTTTACCAGGTTAAAAGGTATCAGATGGTAGACAATTCAGTCACTTGGAGTAACATAACCCACAAAGGCAATGTCCTACACTCTAGTTTCTAGAATCTGGTGCCTTGAAAGCTTGTATTTCTAGTTCCTAAATGCTTCCTCCCTGCCACTATCACGATCCCAATTCTACCTTACAAATCCGGCTAGACCAGAGGATGGACACTGGTACAGATAGGAACTGGAAACACAGGGAATTCAGGACGGGTGATCCCTTCAGGACCAGTGGTGACAGTGGCGATGCCAGGAGGGTGGAGGGAGGGTGGGTTGGAAAGGGGGAACCGATTACAACGATCTACATAACCTCCTCCGTGGGGACGCACAACAGAAAAGTGGGTGAAGGGAGACGTCAGACAGTGTAAGACATGACAAAATAATAATAATTTATAAATTATCAAGGGTTCATGGGGGAGGGGGAGGGGGGGAACCGATAGCAAAGGCTCAAGTAGAAAGCAAATGTTTTGAGAATTAGGATGGCAACAAATATGCAAATGTACTTGACACAATGGATGGATGGATGGATTGTGGTAAGAGTTGAATGAGCCCCCAATAAAATGATTTTTTTTAAAAGCTTGTATCATCTGATACAACTACTAGTCTCTGTTCATATGGAGCAAAGGAGAAGGAAGACAAAGACTCAAAGCAGCAGCAAATCCGTGGAATAATAGCCCATGCAAACCCCAGCACCTTCTCACCTGAAACCAGAAGAACTCGATGCTGCCTGGCTACCTCCGCGGGCCCTTAAAGAACGAGCTCTCTGAGATGAAGCAGTCAGCACTCACCCAAAATCAATGTCAGAAGGGGAGACAGGAAAATAGGGCCATGGAGACAGAACAGAACAGAAATCATGAGAATGCGGATGCGATGTAGAAATACAACCAGTGGCATGGAACAATTTGAATAAAATTTGTTCAAAGGGAACCCAATCGGCCATACAAACTTTCACCTGTTTTTGGCTTTTTTTTAGATCCCATTGTATCGGTTCTGACTCATAGCAACCCTATCGATGTAAAACAGCGAAACAGCCCCTGGTCATCCTCATCAATAAGGTTAAGGCCATTGCTGCAGCCACTGTGTCAGCCCAGCTTGTCCAGGATCTTCCTTGCAACCAGTAAGCTTGTTTTACAATTTTTAGTTTTGTCCCATATTTTTCTACCACTTTACTCAAGGCCTTCTAGGGTGGCTTTTTCCGAGCAGTTGGTTTAGTTGCCGGGCACCCTCTAGTGCTTCTGGTCTCAGGGTTGTGGAGACTGATGTTTTCGCCTTCAATAAATTGTTTCTATATGCCTTGTGATTTTCATCACTGTTTTTCACTGCCTGAGGATAGAGCAATGATTCGACCGTAACCCCGATTTATTCTTGTGTGCTTCACCTTGTTCACTTGACCATTGTTCTTGGCCTCAGCCACCGGTTCCCACCAATCACTACAGTAAGGAGATGCGTGCACTCAAACCAAATATATCAAATCAATCAATAAAATCCCCCCACCCCACCCCACAGATATACTCAGCACGGGAGGCTCTGTGACAGCAAGAAGTCGGACACACCTGCAGATGTTCAGTAGCGTGGAGGAAGGCCACAGGTGTGCAGTATGCGGTGCCCTTTTCTCCTGCTCCTGGGCTGTGCTCAGCTGTGGCTGAGGTGCCTCGCTCTTCCTTCCAGCCTTGTATGGGGCTAATTACCTTTCTTCTCCAACCTGAGACTTTCTGGCAGAACAAGTCATGAAGCAGACTACTTAATTTTACAACTCCTAGTTCTCCTAGGGGGCACAGGGGAAACCTTGCTCTCCAGGCCATTCTGAGACACCCTACCCTACCCCAACCCCCTGTGTACCTTTACGGGAGTCCCCACAGAGCTGCTGCTGCGATCTGAACTGCCAGCCGTCACCACACTTAAGTGCGGATGGTTTGCACCACCCAGAAGCCTCTTGTTTCTCCTGCAACATCCTGTAAACCGTGGATTGGTTGCCTGTGATGAGCCTGCTGGGAGGCTGGGAAGGTTTTAATGTGCTGGGGGATGGGCAACAGAAGGGTGGGTAAAGGGAGACACCTGGTAGTGTAAGATAAGATATAATAATAATTTATAAATGATTAAGGGTGCATGAGGGAGGGGGGAGCGGGAGAGGAGGGGGAGGGAAAAAAGGAAAATGAGGAGCTAATTCCAGGAACCCAAGAGGAAAGCGAATTTTGAGAATGATGAGGGCAACAAATGTATAAGTGTGCTTTACACAATTGATGTATGTATGGACTGTGATGAATTGTATGAGCCCCAATAAAATGATTTTTTAAAAAAATAATGTGTGGAAATGCTGTTTCATAAGTTAGAACAAACTTGCCACGGACCCTCCCCCACCCCCCAGCAAATAATATACACAAATCACAGGATGCATGGATGTAATCAAATGGAACGAGCCCATTCTTAATTCCACAATAGACAGCTGGCCAAAGTTGTGTGGTATATTTGTCAGTAGAAGTGTCTCCTCCCAAATAATCATGGTTTCAGCAATTCAAGTCCTTGGTGGCCTGATATCATTGTATGAAAAGGCTTTATTTCTTTTTCACCCAATCCAGCAACATCATGCCAAGGGGGTCCGTAGGAGAGGAGGAGAGTCGACAACGAAACCACTAAACCAAATCCCTTGGGTGCTCTCAGATGCTGGTCACAGGCATTTTTCACTGGACAGAAACCAGTATGTTCTTTATAATTCATAACAGTGCTTTAGGCTCCACCCACATTGAAATGCTCCCTGAGCTCTTGGTTCCTGTGAAATGCAGGTAAGAGTAAGCGCCCTGCCTGTTTGTAGGGTACGTGGTGCTCATGGGGAAAAAGTGCCATGAATGGGAATGCATTTTGCCATTAGTGAAGCGCGGTGCAACAAAATGAAACATTGCCAGGTCTTGCTCCAACCTCACATTATCGCCCTTTTTGGGCCCACTGTTAGAGACACTCTGTCGATGCATCTGTATGAGAGGCTACCTTTTGTTCACTGCCTCAATTTTACCAAGACAGTTATCCTTCTCCAGGGATATGTGCCTACTGATATGTCCAAAGCACACAAGACGAAATCGCGCCATCCTGCACTCTAGGGAGTACTTCTCCCCAAATAGATGTGTCTGTTCTTCTGGCCGTCCAGAATACTGTCATTCAAATGTATCAGTTCTTCGGCTTTCCTTATTCATTCCCCAGTTTTCATACGCATGTGTGGCTATTGGAAATATCGCCGCTTGGGTCACGACCACTTTAGTCCTCCAAGCGGCACCTTTGCTTTGGAACACTTTACAGAGAAGTCTTTGCAGCAGATGTGCTCACTGCAATATGTCCTTTGACTTCCTGACTGTTGATCCCGTGTGTTGCTTGTGGATCCAATTGAAATGCAATCATGTTCATCTTTTCCCATGTACCATGCTCTTGTCTATTGGTCCACATCATATTTTTGTTTGCTTTATATTTTCCTCCGCCGTTTTAAGCCCTGACCCCAAGTCACAGACTAGGAAGCAAGATTCCGCCTCCCCAGGGATATCACAGCAGGGTCATACACAGACAGACATGATGGCCAAGAGAGCCAGGCTTTTGGACATCGCAGGGCTCCCGGGGAGAGAAGCTGCATGAGGCCCCGTGGACCACAGAGATGGAGCCTGCAGCGGGCATGTCCCAAGCACGCCTGTCCAGCCAACTGACTCCATAGCCTCTAACAACAAAAGCAACCTATTGGGTAAACAAAAACATTGATAAAACTATTTTTAGCTTTTTTTTCTTCTTTTATGGGGCTTTTAGAAATTAAGGAGTCCTGGTTGTGCAGTGGTCAAGCATTTGGCTGCTACCCAAAAAGCCAGAGGTTCGAATGTACAAGGATGTGATTGACGGCTTCTATACAGATTCCAGCCTTAGGGCAATTCTATTCTGTCTTATACGGTGGCTAGGGGTCAGAATCAACCCGATGATAATTGTTTGTATGAGAAATTTTAAATTGGAAGTACGCACGTGACTCACTTGGTGTTTCTCTTGGACTATGCTGTAATACTCATTTATGTCTTCCCGCCCTACACACACTGGCATGCGTAACGAGCGTATCTTAGCAGCAGAGAAAGATAATTTGGAGCCAGCTTCAATGGAAAATCAGAACACTGGCTAGGTCGGATGCCAGCCTCCTCACACGTGAGAGGAAAGCCGGTCAACCTGGCAGGAGCGGGGAAACCAAAGCACGTCCAGGGTCTCAGGCGTCTCCGCAGGCCTGAGGACTTGAGGCACAGGACACACGGTCCAAGGATCACAGTCATCACACTGCTTCAGAGTTTGTCATTTTATTGATTAAGAAAGAAACCCATGTCAGGCATCCTAAATGCAATTTGATTTCCATTAGGCCGAGCTCCCCTTGCAGCCAAGAACTGAGATGCGGGCCAAACACAGCGAGGCTGGCAAGGGGCACAGAACACGACAACGTCCAGTGGATTGCAAAAGCAGGCATCACAGGGCGAGTGCCAGTCGGTCGGCAAAGGCTCGGGGATGCCACGTTTAATGCGTGGGGACAAACCCGAGGAAAGCACGGCACTTTCAAGGAAAGAGAGGGCCAGGACGCTTAGAAGAACGAGCTGCAGCAGGGCCTGTTGGGTGGTGATTCGCCGGGTCACTTGGGGAACACAGTGACCACGTCGTAGCCCTCAGGTGGCGTGACCCGCTCCCGGGCATGCTTTTCACAGTAGATTTGATCCTCCACGAAGAAGTGGCCCTTCTGCTTCAGGTTGGTGCCGCAGTCGGTGCACACGTAACACTCCGGGTGGCGGTGCTGCTCCCGCAGCTTCACAAACAAGCCTCTGTGGGAGCGAGGGAGGAGAGAGGGTCATGAGTGACAAGCGCGCCTGTTG